AAACCTCACAAACAATGTTAACCGCAAGAAAGCTAAATATAAAAACCTAATTAGAGAACTGGATCAAAACTTTACATCTGTCAAATTTATAAATCTTTCTGTCAGTTCGCTAGGGGTGTTTGACAATGAATGTCATACATTCGTAAAAATGCTAAATGAGTTAGGACTGGATAATCAACACCAACAATATTGTATCAGAAAAATTATATCTATTGCCATCCGATCAACGTACTACATATTTTGCTGTAGAAATAAAGAATGGACAAATCCCGAACTAATGAACATTTAAAGTAACTATTTCTGTAAATAAGTAAATTTTTTGTATATAAAATTATAACCATGCACGTATAAGTGATTCAAGTAGTCAATTGTAGGTTACCTCAAGAAGTGAGATTTACAATTGTATATATCTATAAATGTTCTATTAATAAAGTTTTCATTATTATTATTTAAACTTATTTAAAAACGGTAGCCCTTCAGCACAAAGAAACTGATTTTCAATGGGTCGTTTGAATACAATATTAAAAACCTATTATACACACTAATACTTAACTAATACAAACACACTAAATAATATATACAGTATATACATATATATATATATATATATATATATATATATATATACATATATATATATATATATATATATATATATATATATATATATATATATATATATATATATATATATATATATATATATATATATATATATAAGTAACAAATCAGGATTAGAAGCAGCATTGGCTACCAAGAATACTTTTAAATTAATTAATCATTATGCCCTGTTCTTTTGCTGAAATTGGCAAGCTATTCCATAGTAAAGCCCCAGAGTAGCTAATACTTTTTTTCAAAAAATTGGTTTTAGGCTTAGGAATATGGAAATTAACAGCATTACTTCGCAAATTATGAAATTCATTGTTACTAATTTCAAAAATATCTGTCATAGGCTCATTAAGATTATTGTTTTTCACATTATACATGAACGTTGCCTTTTTGAATTTCATTCGTTCTGCCAATGGCCGCCAACCAAGTTCTGATAAAATCTCACACGATCTAATCTCATACGATTTGCCTGAAATGACCCTTGCAGCCCTGTCCTGTAATTTTTGTAAATTTTCAATTAGATAATTACTGCATGTATCCCAGACAAGGCTACAATAGTCGAAACGAGACAGAATTAGGGCATTGTAGACATGCATTAAAGTAAATTTCGGTACGTAAGGTTTCATTCGTCTCAACATACCGATTCCTTTTGAAACCTTGGCAATTGTAGCGTCGACATGATTTTTCCAAAGAAGCTGGTCATCTACCACAACCCCCAAGGTTTTTATTTCACTTACTCTGTTAACTTCTGTATCGCCTAATCTAATTGTAGGAGTTTGGATATCATTTAAACGTTGTCTAGAGCCTATCAACATATATTCAGTTTTTTCGATATTTAGAGTTAATTTATTGGCAAGCAACCACCGGTGAACTTTGTCTAGATCCTCATTCAATTGACTTTGAACATCTTCGGCATGCAGATATACCACTAGTTGTTAAATTTGCATCATCGGCAAACAGACTTGCGTCCGAGAAAGATAGACAGTTAGGAAGGTCATTTACATAAATAAGAAAAATTAATGGGCCCAAGTTAGACCCCTGAGGAACTCAACAAATAATAACAGCCGGGAAGACACTGTTTGAGCAATTTTACACATTTGAGTAATTGAGTACGATTTGTAAGATAAGATCGAAATAATTCCCTTTTGTGTCTTTAATAAGTTTATTCAACGCATTTCGGGCTCTTTTATATGCGACAAACGTGTTTTCAGATCCTGTGTTAATTGCTTTTTTCTTAAGAAAATCTCGATGATAAATCTGTTTCTTAATATTGTTTGTCATCCAAGGAGTGTACTCGCTTTTAACCTTTCTCGTAATTTGAGGTGCGTGAATGTCGGCAACAAACAAAAATCTTGTTTTAAAATCTTCCCAGAGTACATCTGCAGGGTTGTTATCATTTATCGTATGTTGCAGAATATCCCGAAGCTCTGTAACAAACGAATTTTTATCATAATGTTTAAATTGGCGCGAGCGGATAATTTTTGGTTCGTTACGTGGAATGGATATTTTTCGACAACGTAGATTAAACTGTGGTCACTTATGCCAAGGTGATCTACACCCGACATCGTGATGAGTTCTGGTCTGTTAAATAATGCAAGATCAATCAGTGTCCTAGAGGCTGCCGTTACCCGAGTGGGTTCCTTAATCATTTGCTCAAATTGATAAGTACTCGCTAGAGTAGCCATTCTAACCGTATGAGAGGCGGCATTATTATTGGATAACTTGCTCCAATTAATCACAATTAAAGTCCCCCATAAGAATATAATAGTCTCTTTGTTCTCTAAGTCCATATTTATAATACATTCTTCATACCATTCGAAACATTCAATAGAAGCATCTGGTGGGCGATACCAAGCGTTAACAAAGAATGATTTTGCCTTTGGAGGACAGACCTCAATCGTGATTGTTTCAAGATTTTCATTCATTAAATCATTTCTTATTTTGTAATCAATTACATTTCTGATATATAATGCTACCCCACCACCATTTCGGTTTCTATCTTTTCTAACTATATCATAGCCACTTATGTTAATTTCATAATTAGATATTGTACTGTCAAGCATAGTTTCGTTTATACTTAGTATGTTATACTTTTGATTAGATAAATAAATTCGTAACTGGTCTATGTTTTTGACTAAGCTTCTTATATTTAGGTGGCCAATTTTAAACGGCCTCTCTTTTTCATAACTGGGTTATTTGCATTTGATTTAATTTGATTTGCATTATTTAGGGCAAAATTTTTGTAAGAATTATCCTCGGTAGCCGGTTTACTTCAATTGCCCGAATCCTTAAATAACCTATCAAGTTTTTAGCAACAATGGAATTTCCTGCTCTGTTAAGATGAACTCTGTATGAGTTCAAGTGTTTGGCTTGTAAGTTGCCGTGTTGGATAAGTCTATATTTTGATCTTGACAATAGCTTTGAAGATGTTGATTGATCTTACCTATTTTAGGTATATATGTCGTTGCGCCTCTAAAAGTCTGCGTCGACACTCGTCTTACGGTTTTTGAAGATTGTTGTAATCTCCTACTATCTAAGTGTTTAGTCATTGAGTCACCAATTATTACTGTGCTTGGCACTTTTGCTTTGCTTGGGCTAGCGGATTCTTTGTTTTGAAGTTCGTCATTGTTCTTGTTCGTTTGTCCTTGACTCTTGTTTATTACCTTTTGTCTTCCTTTGACAAGGGGGATTTCTTGTGATTTGATTTCAATATCGCTGTCGCTTAAAATTTCAAATTGGTTTCTAATTACCGTATCACTTTTACTAGAAGAGAATGTCAAAAAGTTTTTCTGACGCTGCACGCCCTTTGACATTCTGCCAGCCATTGCGATTTTCTTTACTTTCTGGCTGATTTAGGTCGGCGAACTTTTATTACCATAAGCAGAGATTTTTTCTCCTCTTCTAGATCGCTTACTTTTGCTTTAAGTGACGCCATAGCATATACAAGATTTTCGCAGCGTTGAGACAGATCATTGTTACATACACTGTTCGATTTTAATTTGTCGATTTTACTTGAAAGCTCGAGTACCTTTGCATTCACACGATTTTCTAAAAGTTTGAAATTCTCAGCGATTTTTTCCAGAGAGACACTCGAATGTTCAACGTTTTCAACATTTAAATGTTTATCGTTGTCAGCACCTGAATGTTCATCGTCTGTCGTATTTGTAGTTTCATCATCATAGTCTAATGTTTGATCAACTAATATTTCGCCCTCGACGCCGTCTATGATTTGTTGTTGCTTAGGCACCAAGTCAATAAGCTTTTCACTGGTAGGTCCACTGAAACAAAGCAACTTTGATGAAGAATACCAGCGAATTACTAGGTTATTATCAGCTTCATATTGTTTACAGCCACCACGTGGCGTCATCCATTTCGTCTCGGCCTTCAAAAACGAGTTAAAAAAGCCTTGAAGCGATTCAAAGCTTCCTTCCCACTTGATCGATCCTTTCTTAGTTATATGCAGATATTTTTCACCATTAAAAGTGCTTTGAGTTTCATTAGATGAACGAAAAAAATCGGAGCTCCCTGATTCACTGTTTACCACCATGATTGCTTCGATATCTCTATATATCGAAGATTGCTTCGATATCTATATATTATTTACTTTTAATAATGAACTGCAATTGGAACAGAACAGAATAGAAGGACTGACACATACAAAGTCAAAGATTACATGACTTTGTCCATGTCTGCACGTTCATTCATATAGTATTTTAATAACGCACTGATGTATTAAATAGCCGTTTTCACATTACAAGACGGACAAGTCGTCTAGACGAACAAATCGTCTCAAATGATGTGAAAACGTGTCGGACAAAATTTTAGACAAACAAGTCGTCTGAATTTGTTCGACCACTTGTCTGTCTGTGAAGACGATTTTTGAGAGACGATTTGTTCGTCTAGACGACTTGTCCGTCTCTAATGTGAAAAGGGCTAATAAATGCGTAGAAAATTATATTCTTCGCAGACTAGTTCAGATCACAATCTGGTGAACGAGCTGTTGACGTTTAGGCTATAGTCTTGCTGTTGGACCAAGAACAACACTTTGAAACTCCAGTATGATATATCTGATAGTAATTTTCCTCACCATATTTTTATTGATAACATCCTATGCGACTTTTTCATGGTCGACATACGTATATACAACCTCTTCGGCATCGCCCAGTATTCAAGTTGAAAATATTCAATATATTCAAATAACCTCTAAAACAATTATATTTTCCAAACACACATCATATTTTCCAACTGAGAGGTGTCTTCTTTAATACACATTGTCATTGATACTGTAGTTGTATTCTGGGTATACTTTTTCGAAGTTTCGTTCATATTTTCAGAATAAAACTACAAGTATATTAATTTATATTTTTATAATAAAAAACGCGGCTCCGTTCGTGTGGTCCCACACGCGTTATACACGCGCACTTCAACGCGTGCTCTCGCTGTAACAGACGTTTTAATTGGCTAACACAGACAATAGACATATTCCCGCTCGTTTCGCAGATGTTAGTTTCCAAGCGAAGAATGAGCGTCGGAAATGACGTCTGGGTTCGCAGACTAATTGAGCGCTAGCAGTCTCTTATTGACGAGTAAAGTCATCTGGTGTTAGACAATCAATAAGTTGTTCAACTCCATGCAAAGGGATATTTCAGGCATAAATGACATGTATGCATGGAAGATCACCTTGTCCTGTATGCTTGGAAGATCACCTAAAGTTGGCTTGCGTAAACATGATATTCTTGCATGGATTATTCAAAATAATTTTTGAACAGTAATAAGGAACTCAAAAGGTAACCGATTTCTTAATAATTATGTACACTACTGCAGAACCTATTAACATTATATGCTTCATCTATGAAGTGACCATCTAAGATTCATTACCACAATCTATGAAACAAGATTGAATTCACGCGGGCTTGGAATGGTCGATTCACAGTATTTTTCCATAAGTCTACAAAAATTCCCTATGAATTATAAGCAGTGTCTTATTTCGTAACATTATTTTGGTAGGTTTATGACACAAAATTGAATTTATATGACATTATATAGCATGTATATTCCCGAAAAATCGTCGCGCGACGCAGCTGTAAGCGACGTTTATTTATTACGATTCACAATATCTCGTCAATTAATATACATTTAATAGAGCAGTATATAAGTTAACAGGCAGATAAGTAATGTATTTTGTGCAGTGTAATATGTTTGTAGTGCGATATGCGTGAACATGAATGACGCGTTGCGCTTTTGGTGTGCGGGTTACACTTTCATGAACAACAACATATAAAGATAACGTATGTATGCCTGAAGGCCGAGTCAGTTCACACAATTTCGAGGTTGCCAAACTTTTACGAGCGTTTTATATAACTCTATATCGGCTTTAATTAAACCTTTTTCTGTAGTCCTATAAACTTCTCACTAGCCGCCATCGTAATTACTTGCAATTACGCACGCACGGGCGTCAAAGAGGCAAATGTCCGCCTTGATAGTAATATTTTTTGGCATGGGAAAGCAGCTCCGGTTGAAGTAGCCAGCATGGTCAAATAAAGTTTTATCTATCTAGCTACGCGGTCAGGTCCGTTCGAGTATGCGATATTTCGGAACTGAGTCTAGTTCCTTCGATATCAGTGTAATCTAATAATCATGATATTTGCTGTGATGGTGTAGTGTGTGTAATATCGCACCGAACCGACCTGACCGCGTAGCTCAGTTGGCAGAGCATTGGGCTAGTATTCCAAAAGTCGTAGGTTCGATTCCCACCGATGCACTGTTATTTTCAGGGAGTTAAAATAACTCCGGAAAAGGGGGTTAGCAAAAAAGGTTCAAAATAATCCGTTTTTGGGGGTTACAAATAACTCCATTTCTGGGGTTAAAATATAACTCCAATTTTGGGGTTAATTTAACTCCCATATTGGAGTTAAAATCTAACCCCTATTATGGAGTTAAATCATTTTAACTCCAATATAGGGGTTACAGTACTGAATTATTAATAGTTTAAAGAAAGTTACCTGGCAAAATGTCCTAGGAAAGATTTATCTTTTAAAAACACAGCTAGCTCCACGCCAAGATATAAGTACAAGTATAAAACAATCAACGCCATGTCCAAATTTGTGGCGGTTGCATAGCAACGACAAAATTGTGATCGACTTCTATCCTAAGTTTATCACGCGATCCATGAATGCACATGCATGCGTGTATACTGCAGTCTGCAGCACATTGAAAGGCTGCAACATAACCATTGAAATCGAAATATTTTAAGTTCCTTCGAAGGAAAATTCCTGTTCCAATCCATGCAGGGACACATTCAGCATACCATATCATAAAAAGCAGGTAATAAGTATATTTATATAGATCCCTTGCGTTAACAGGTAAATTAAAAATGAACAAGACGCTCCACGGAGCGTAAAGTCGCTGGGGCGATGGAAATATGCAATTTTAAGCACAAGTGATACCACTTAAGAACAGCGTGTTTGTTTTTCCGAAAACATTGAATCTTGAAGTTTGCAGTTTGCCTGGCAGTTAGCGCTAATAGTTAAAACAAGTACAACCATGTAGCAATGTTGTTTTAATAGTCATATAGTATACAGTATCTATCGTATGTGTTAAAATTATAAGCGTTTATCCTGTTGTCATTACACAGATCGGCTGGTGTAATGTTACCAACCATTGCGTCGAAGGCTGGAAGGCAAGAATATTCTTCCCTTCGAAACTAAACACATTATAACGTCTGTGTAATACAATAATGCCTCGTGAGAGGAGATTACCAAGCGACTGTATTATGTATAGCAATAACGCTTTAGTCATATCTACTAATCTACATACCAGTGCGCACTGTGCAGTATAGAGGAGGCCATCTGCATGGAATAATAATATATGTTATTGGGCCAAGAAAGATTCTATGTTACTTCCACACGATATCAGGAAATTGAGTTCCTCCTTTTCAGCTTTTGGTAATACATTTTGTCCCAATGAACCTTAATCCTTCAATGCTATTTAATAGGAATAGGACTCAAAAGAAGCAGGCGATGTCTGACTTTAAGTTTAATTTATGTAGATCCAAAAGACCAAAATATTATTACTGACTGGAAAGTTTGGAAATTGCGCTCCGGAGATTTCAAAAATTCAATAGTAAATATATAGAAAGCATCAACATTTGCGCGCCCAGTGTCTCCGCCGCGCGATACAAATATATGAAATTATGTACAAATTATAGTCTACTTCCCTGCTCGATAACATAACAGTGAAAACGTCGTGATAACTTTTAGTGAATTCTTAATATATTTATTTCAAAAACCCCAAATGAAAAGACACGACTGGACCAAATAGTCGATAGCGAACTTTTGCACGCTATTCCATGGTCGCCATTTTGATTTTGATTTCGTAAGTATTACGTAATTAAAATGACGTAATTTGTCATTTTGTGGCATACCAAAGGCAAACCTAGAGTCGGTGGGCACCACAGGTGGCCCCACCGACTAGTGAAGCAAGAAATACAGGAAGTTCCAAGCCAAATTAAAAAACCTGTGCTTTCATTATTATCACATATACAATGTTCAATGTCCAATCTGCTTTCTGCATTATCACTTAATACTCCTCGATAATTTGCTTGTAAATGTATTCAAATCCCAATAATTGCATGGCTTAATAGTGGAGTAACAAATAGAATATAATGCAATTGCACAACATTGAGAATTGTCAGAACTACATGCACATGTATTACCACCACCAGGCATACCGTTTTCACTAAGGTTTTGGGCGTGGTGAAAAGAAGCTTGTTCTTCAATATTTACTCCTCGTAGCTCAAACTGACTGTTTTCACCGTATAATGACTGTAAATGCAAAACAACATGGTCGATAGTTGCTGTCTCTAACAATACACAAGTCCCTTGTGGATGGCTTCTACCATATATATCCCTTGAATGAGAGTCAAATATTTTGTATTTCCATCATTTATGGAATATATGCAAACTGCATTGGAATCAATTGTCAATATAAATGCAGCAAAGTTTTCAGTCAGTAGCAACTCAAATGCTCGATGAAATGGTACACAGTACTGATACCCTTCAATATGACTTTCTCCAAGTAGTCTGCCACTATAGCTTTCACTGTACTGGAGAATATAATCTGTGTTGAATACTGTAAGTCGCGTAGGCAGTTCTGTAAACATTAGAAATGATTGGCTTGTCGAACGTGCCAAGTTTGAGTATAATTCATTGCCAACATTCATTAACCGAGCCAAATTTTGTGATGAGTAAATGCCCTGTCTTTTATTGTATACGAGTGCACATAAACACATGGCCAAATATTGCTGTCCTGCTGTTTCGCCAAATATAAGTTCATTTCCCTGACTATATGGTGCACTTATTGTCATGCTAGGATCTATATAGTATACAGGTCCAGGATTGGTCTCAATGTCTGAACAAAGCGCAGACTGATGGACATTTATTACATAGGCATACCGGGCGGGGCGGTAGCCCCCAGTTTTTTGGGCAGTCGGGCAATATTCGATTAACAGTCGGGCAATTTTGGTTTGTTATAAAAATAAATGGGAGA